CCCCCCTCCCGCCCCGCGGAGCGGCACCAGGGGAATCCTCCACCCACGGGACGTATTCCTTCCGGACCCGTTCCACCAGGGGGCGCCTCTACTCGTTTGCATCTCTGTGGAAGTGCGCTAAGGATGCGGGTCCGCCACAGAGATGCACGAAGAAATAGACACGCCGACACCATTCCCATGGACATTTGGGGGGCGGGGGGGCAAAGTGCCTGGGAGAGTTACTTTATGGGGACAGCACCCCAGAGATAGCGCGTCCTCCCCACTGGGACACCCTTGGCGCATTGCGATCGTTTTGAGGCCCAGCGAAGCTCTTTGAGGTGGGGGTTTTTTTTTTTTTTGCCTTTGTTTCTTATTTAAAGAGGGAACTCTGTTCTTTGAAGATTTTAAGGTGATGGAAAGTTCTCATAAATGAATAAACAATGCTTTAAACGATGCGTCTTCCTTTTATTCCAGCAGGAAGGAGAGAACCCCAACGTGCCCTGTGTGTGTCCCTCCTCAGTGTCCTCTCTCTCCTGAGCACAGGGGAGGCTTGGATACTGACCCCTCACACCCAAGGCAAGGAAAGCCACACCAGCTGCGCTGTCCTTCCCTGCCATTCAGAGAGGAGGAAACAGCACGGCAGGGCTGAAACACTCGCGGAGGGCTTTAGAAGTCCCGCGGGGGGGGGGGGAGGACCGAGGAACAGCCCCGAAGTCATCCTGACAGGACGCGGCAGCCTCGTGTGGGTCTGTGTTAAAGGAATGATGCCCCAGGGGTGGAAAGGTACTGAGATATCTATATACGCCAAGCTTCACTTCTGGCAAAGCAGGACCTCTTCCCTGCTGTCATCTTTGTGGGTGAAGATTTGCCAATCAAGCTGTGTGGTGGTGCAGGTCAATGATTTATCCGTTACTGGAAGTTAGCAGTTATGTACGTGTCTTGCAGCTAGGGCATTATGTCTGCTACTAGCATACAGATATATACATTTAAATACATTTATAATATACATTTGCTACTGCCATAGATATATACATTTTAAAGGCATACAATTTCCCCACACCTAGCAAGGCGCCAGGCGCAGGGCCCGGCCAGGGGAATGGAAGGGTGAGGCCAGGACAAGGGAAGGGCAAGACAGGCCCAGGGAAGGGAAGGGAAGGCAACCTCAGATCAAAGGAAGGGAAGGAAAAGGCAAGACTGGACAAGACAAGGTCCAAGGAAGGCCAAGGCAAGGCCATGAAGGATGGCCAGATGACCAGCAGATGGCCTTTGTCTAACGGGAGGGAAAGGCCAAGTCTCCTGGGTTTCAAACAGCCTTTCCTCAGGAAGGCAGCTTCCATTAAAACCTCTACGGCCTGAGGTCAAACCCTGGGACACCCGTTCAAGGACAATTCTGGTGCTGCACCCTCTGGTCAGGATGAGGAGCCCAGTCTTCGGCTTCCCCCACCTACCCCTTGGAGCGTTGCGGTGCTTGGCCGAAGGAAGGGTTCCTGCTGGACTTCAAAGCTGGCTTCTTTCCCATATGTTAACAGCCCAGCGTTGATCTGTCAATTTTTAATCTGTCTTGATGGATAATTGATTAGCCGTGCTGCTTGATCATCTGGTGCCAGTCAGAGAACGTATTCTCAGGCAATAGGTGGTGGCCGCAGGACTGCACAGGGGCTGCACAGCTGCCCTATACAAAGGCCACCATGTCTGGTTTACTCATTTATTCACTGTTCATTTTCTTTCTACACCTCCTTGGGATCCAAGGCAGGTCACAACAATTAAAACAATACATTGCTCACAGAGCCCAGTCTTCGGCTTCCCCCACCTACCCCTTGGAGCGTTGCGGTGCTTGGCCGAAGGAAGGGTTCCTGCTGGACTTCAAAGCTGGCTTCTTTCCCATATGTTAACAGCCCAGCGTTGATCTGTCAATTTTTAATCTGTCTTGATGGATAATTGATTAGCCGTGCTGCTTGATCATCTGGTGCCAGTCAGAGAACGTATTTTCAGGCAATAGGTGGTGGCCGCAGGCCTGCACAGGGGCTGCACAGCTGCCCTATACAAAGGCCACCATGTCTGGTTTACTCATTTATTCACTGTTCATTTTCTTTCTACACCTCCTTGGGATCCAAGGCAGCTCACAACAATTAAAATAACACATTGCTCACAGATTTAAAGCACTATACAAAAACTATACTAAAAAAATAAAATAAACTTCACTGTTAGGCAATATTAGAACCAAAATTTGCTGAGGGTGATACAACTTTTCCCCAGCTTGTGCAATCTCATAAAGAGAGGAGGGGATTTTTGAGCCCTGAGTTCCCCAAAACAGTGCAGACCAGAAATTTGGGGAAGTCCCCTGCCTTCTAGAAGGACATGACAGTAATCACGCAACTCAGATGACTCCATGGAGAGGCTGGGCTGGTGCTGGGCTTCACTTGAGAGAGCCCGCAGTCACTACTGCCCTAGCATAAATATTTGGGTTTGGTGCAAGGAATGCAACAGCCAGACATGACCTTGTTCAGGACTAACACACACTGAGCTCCATCCTGCCTGGCCCTGGAGGTGCCAACAGGTCAGGAGCGTCACGGCAGCCTCTGCTTTGCACACCTTGGTGCCAAACAGGATGGTCCTTGAGCTGCCGCCCTGGTCTGCAGAAGCAGCGCTGAGTGCCTTTAAAAGTGGACCCTTGCTGCGCTTCCCTGGCTGGAGAGTTCCCACCAGGGCTGGCCTCCTCTTTCTCCTCCCACCTCTTGTTCAGTCTTCCATGGTGGGTGTGACCTGCGAGGGCTTTACCTTGCTTTCCTCTCTTGTTCTCTGTTTCCTTTCTTGATCCTCTTCACAAATGTGACTTCATCATCCCTCGAGTGTGTCTGACAAACCTTGACAGCATCTTAAAAAGCAGAGACATCACCTTGCCAACAAAAGTCCGAATAGTCAAAGCTATGGTTTTTCCTGTAGTGTTGTATGGAAGTGAGAGCTGGACCATAAAGAAAGCTGACCGCTGAAGAATTGATGCCTTTGAATTGTGGTGCTGGAGGAGACTCTTGAGAGTTCCCTGGACTGCAAAGAGAACAAACCTATCAATTCTAAAGGAAATCAACCCTGAGTGCTCATTGGAAGGACAGATCCTGAAGCTGAGGCTCCAGTACTTTGGCCATCTCATGAGAAGAGAAGACTCCCTGGAAAAGACCCTGATGTTGGGAAAGTGTGAAGGCAGGAGGAGAAGGGGACGGCTGAGGATGAGATGGTTGGACAGTGTCATCGAAGCAACCAACATGAATTTGACCCAACTCTGGGAGGCAGTGGAAGAGAGGCGGGCCTGGCGTGCTCTGGTCCATGGGGTCATGAAGAGTCGGACACGACTAAACGGCTGAACAAACGAGTGTGTCTGTGTTGGAAGGAGAGCTGGGTGCAGGCTCCGATTCTTGGGCTGAATGGATACGTGCTGTAAGAGGGGCTCCTCTGGAGTCACCTTGGCCAGGGCACCTGTCATCCCACTGGGATGCTTCCAGTACAAGGCTAGGATCCAGCCCTAACCTTCTTCCATCGCAATCAGCCCCTCTCGTCTGCAGAAGCCACCACTGGCTCCACACAGGTGTAGGGGGCGAGGGAGAGGTGGCCATATTGTTAGGTCTCGGTCCTCAGAGGAAGGGCTGGCCCGCCATGCCAAATCGCCTTTAAAGATCTTAAGAGCCTGGTAAGATGTTGTGGGGGAGGGGAGGGGGAGGAGAAACCAGACACATTCTGGGTCCAATCAGTGTCTGGAGAGGCGTTTTCTGCTTCCCTCCTAGATCCTACCTGGAAACAAGTGGTCTTTCTCAGTGCGATTTAAAAATATATATATATAATCCATACCAATGTGAATGGAAATGGAGCCCAACATGATTCAGGAAAAAACAAAAACAAAGCAAAACCGAAGCAAAAGGAAAATGGAAAATCCTGCTGTGGCTCTTTAAAGGACAATGCATGTATCCTGCCCTTGCGGGCTTGCAATCCCCTTCCTCAGGCACTGAGTGGCTCCTAGCTTTACAGACCGTGGAGGTCCAGAGCAGGGAGGGAGGGAGGCAGCAGAGAGGGGCAGGATACTGAGAAAGAGGTACAGTAACGGCTCTTGGAACTCAAGCCTGTGGCTTCCTTAAGGAGACAATCCATCTCGGATTTGCTTTTCCTTTTTTTTTCTGTTGCCCTCAGCCTTTCCCAGCCTTTTGCCTTTTCATGAGGTCCCCAAAGAACACAATACAGGAATCTGTGCTAATTCTTCATGGAGCGGCTGATCAAGGAAGAGACCTCTTTTTTTAAAAACGAGAGTCTGTGCAAGCGGAGCGCAAAGATGCATCGGCTGTGGCAGGTTCTGAAGGGGACGAAAAAAGCCCCTCGGGCTGCCTGCTCTCAGAGACCTGCAGGCAGACCTCGACCTGTCCAGGCAACTGCTCTGTTGGCTAAGGTCAGCCGGCCGGAGGGACAAGAAAGGGTGAGAAAGAAGGGAGACCAGGAAGGAGGAGCTGAGCACAGACCTCGTCCCCAACCGGGGGCCAAAAACCAGGGTGTTCCAAAGTAATTCCCGACACCCCTGGACTGGGAGGGGGGTTCGATTCCACACCGCTTCCGCTGGCCCTCTGCCATCTTGGCCTCTGCTGGGTTTATATTTTACAAAGAGCATTTTATGTATTTATTTATTTTATTTATTTATATCCCGCCTATCTGGTTGGTTAAGTTAAGAGAGGGAAGGACAGGCAGGTGAGATTGATAAGTTGATTGACCTTGAGAAGCCCTGAACACCTCTGAGTAAGATCAGTATAAAGGCGCGGGGGGGGGGGCAGCAGCAGCAGCATCAGTGAGTGTGTGTCTGTCTGTGTGAGTGAAAACATGAGCCGCAGAAGAAGCAGACCGGCAGGAGAGAGGAAGGAAGGAAGGAAGCTGCATAAGATGAAGGAGCTGCAGAACGAAGCAACAGGATGAAAATAGATGGCCAGGTGAACTGAGAGAAGCCTGCATGGATATTTCGTCAAGGGTGGGAGAATACAGAAAAGAAACTAAGGATTTATGAACCCTGAAATTACAGAGGCTGCAAGCAACTAATTTAAAAGCAAATAATAAGCAATGAAAAGCTGTTGTATCTTTTGGACTAATAATATTTAAATCACATGAATTAAATGTGAATCATGCTTTTGTAAAATAAATAACTAACTTTATTCAAGTTAAGTCTCGGCCATTGTGCACTCTGCTATATACAGAGGGGACTACTATGAGGCCTGACCTCATAGATGATTTCTAGGCTTCCCCAGAGGAGCATAACCTGGGAGGATCTTGAAGTGTGGACAGCCACAACGCCCACCTACTGCTACGAGTGCGAGGGGCTCCTGTGGGGCATTGCACGGCAGGGGATGCACTGCACGGAGTGTGGGGTCAAATGCCAGGAGAAGTGCCAAGACCTGCTCAACGCCGACTGTTTGCAGAGTAAGTCGCTGCTCTGGCTCCGTAGCTGGGGCGGTGGGGAGCTCTCCCGGGCCGTGGGGAAGAGCCGCTGCCTTTCTTGGCAAAGCAAAAGACGTCTGTAGGGAGGCCAACTTTCTTGGGCTCCGTGATGACTGCAGATGGTGACAGTAGCCATGAAATTAAAAGAGGTTTGCTTCTTGGGAGGAAAGCAATGTCAAACATTGACAGCATCTTAAAAAGCAGAGACATCACCTTGCCGATAAAGGTCCGCATAGTCAAAGCGATGGTTTTCCAGTAGCAATGTATGGAAGTGAGAATGCTTTAAGTCTAAAATGTGGATTTCCTGCTTCCAGAAGGGCTTTGGATTCCGTGGCCCTTTTGAGGGGTGTTTGTCCCTTCCCTTCTACAGGGCTATGATTTGTCAACCTTGCAATCCCATCTCGAACCTTTAGTCTAAATTGAAATCCTGCATTTTTAATACCTGTTATTGTTGTGTGCTGTCAATTCTCTTCCAGCTCTTAGCACCCCTGTGAATTAATGCCCCTTGACGGGGGGGGGGGACACCATCCTTTTATTAATAGTTTTAACAAAGCCTTACAGAGGTTCCCTTATTGACTCAACCCGTCTCACGCTGCGTCTTCCTCTCCTCTCTGTGCTGAACTTTTCCAGCATTACCTGTACGCTCCTCACCAGGATGATTGGAGAAGAGGTCCCCCACCCCCGCCCCCACCCCTTCCAGGCCAAGATTCGCCATGTCCAGCCTGAGGAGCTCACGGTCTACTCAAAGTAGAGATTTGGGGCCCTCCCCCTCCCTCCCTGGGACAACGCCGGGTCTCGCGCTGATAGAGACACGGGGGTCCACAGCCCTGGGGCAGAACAGGGGCTCCCCTGCTGCTGGGGGTGATGGTGGCGGCGGTGCAACCACGCACACACGCACACACACACCCCGCCCGGTTCCTCCTTCTGGAAACCTCCGGCCGTCCTTTGGTCCTTCATAACCTCTCTCTGCATCTTGCGGCTCCCTGTTTCTGTCTCGCTCTGCGTCTCCATGGCACTTGGGTCCCGGTTGGCGTGGATCGGGGCCTTTGCCTCCTCTCTCCGATCCTCTTGGGAACCAGCCCAGCTGCCACCCCCGCGCGCCCGTTCACGAGGCGAAGGCATCCGGCGCGGGAAAGAAGGCACGTGAAAGTCAGCAAACCCGAGAGGCCGTGCTGGGCAAGGAGGAAGGGAAACCACTCTTTCGGCCCCTGGGAGCACGTGGGAAAGGGCACGAGGTTTCCCTTTTCTGCGCCCAGCAGGCCCGCCACTTTCTGCGGGCTTTCCGGGACCGAGGCTCGGGGGAGGCACTTCTGCTTTCCATCGCCGGCTCAATCGGAGGCTTCTGG